TATATATATAGCAGTTTGTAGAGTGTCCAACATAACAAAATCAAGACAAAGACAAGTTCAGATTTTAGGAAATTCTTTACCTATGGAGTTTTTGCAGGCCAAATTCTTACGTATTAGTGTTTAAATGTTTAAATGTCTTGATAGCGTTTATTTATTAAGCAATATTCGGGCACTGATTTTGCGTCAATTAGTCCATACAAACACTTATCGAGGAAGGTGATTTTTCTCTTCTGTCAAGAAGTGTGCTATTTTTAGAGACTCGCAATTATGCAATACAAGTATAATGTTGTTACTGATAGAATCCATTCATTTGAAAATCCTTTCAGTTGAATTTGAAATTTAATATCTATCATATGACTATTAAAAACAACACATTACGTTTCGATCATGGTAATTATGAGATAAATACAATACTTTGTATTCCTAACCTGTGTACTGTGTCGCAGTGTTAGTCGTCCATTTCCACACACCTTGATTCTCTCTGTCATTGAAACCAATCCAAGTATTCATACAATAACCGTATTTTTGGTAGCGGAGATCACGAACGAAGTTTCTTTCTTCTGATGATGATATCGCCAACAAACTTGCTCCCTCCGATTCACAGTTTGTCAGCGCATCAGTCCAATTTACTGTCTGTGCAAACACTTTATAACAACTCATTTGGAATAGATCCCACGAATCTGGGCATCTGTCTACAAAACACACACATAAATCAATTATGAATTTGCTACAAATGCATCAAGTCGGAGACAAACTTATCATCCTGCAATCATGCACTATCCGGTTCCCCACTTTTTGGATCTCCCCATGCGTATAAAGATATTATACAAGTTACTTGGTGATAACTAAAGTCATATAATAACCAGATAACAGTTTCATCTTCAAGCAATAGCCTTCAGAATGCACACCATGCAACATATCTGCGGCGTCATATTTCATTTGCTCAAGGTCGGTTGAGTTTTATACTAAACCTAACTTAGGACTGATGACTTACAATAACAACACTAATAATTAACGTGGCATAATAAACAAATAATAATAACAATACATAATAATGAAAATATAAAATAATTATGATAAAATAATGATAATAATAATCATAAATATTTGGTTATAGTATAATAACAACCCTGATCATAATAAACACAATTTCATTGGCAATAACAACTACCTTTGCTGAGATTAAGTTTGTTGACCATATGTTAACAGAATAGTATAAGAAAATAATGTACACCTACCACAATACGAGAGGGAAATTACCGATAAGATGAAAACATTGCCGAGAGCAAATACGTTGCCTTTCGTTAGAACCATAATGTTGATGTTATACTTGTAACTAACGATAACGTACAGAATTAAAATTGCATGACTTTGACGTTCGTTATAAAGGAATAGTAACACTCATCTGATAGGATGTAAGTAAATAGACGAGATAATGAAACATTTCATAGGACCTTACAGCGAATAATGTATACAAATTAGGACACCAAATAAAATATTTAGATTAGCAGGAGCCTACTCATTGGCTAAATATGACGTACAAAAGTAAATCAAGAAAATGTATAATAGAGTATAAAAAAACATATAAAAATAGAGGGCAGCATATTGCTGAAAAGACTACATTTTCAATAAATAAAATGCAAAAAAACCGCAATATTACAAGACGGCACCAATCCAAAACGCATAATTACAAATTGAAAAAAAAAAAAAACATATTAAAGTTACATTGTATATCAATCAGTCAATCAATCAAGCAAAAGATATTTACAATTACAAAAATTTAGTTACAATATCACTAAAAATAGATTTCATGTGTTAAAACACCAGTTTTAATACAGTAGAATCCCTCCTTTGGGTCACCCCTATTCTGGGGACACCCCTAA